AAGCTTGAAATGGACAGTCACTAGTAATGATCTCCGGTCTGCAGTTCTACCTACTTGGATTTTATTCCAGTAATTAGTCACATAACATTTACGGCTCATGTGATTGGCTCAACAAAACCTATGTCCAGATATCATGGCTGTATCTGGATGTACTTCTGCTATATAGTAGACAAAAACATACTTCTCTACTTTATAGCAGACAAAAAAAACAATGGTTGCATCCAAAATTGTATGCTTTCCTACTACACAGTAGGCTAAAAATAGTATGTGTATCTTTATTCATAGACAGAATGCAAGTATGCGCTTGCAATTTTGGAACCAACCATTCATACTCTCTGAGTATGTATTTCTATTGAATAAGTAGTTACTTTGCGACCCGAAGAGTATGTTCTATAGTATGAATGTGTAGTATGACTATAATACTGTGAATTTGAACATACTTTTCTGTTCACATACTATTTTTCGTCAACTATATAGTAGCGATTTCGGATGCAGCATTTGATATGAATGGAAATGCTAACGCACCGCTTTCTTCAGATAGCCTATTACAGACCTTTAGCTTTGCTACTCTCTCATGCCCCCTGCTGGATCCCGCAAAGTGTTAGCACAAATCAACCTTTCTATGCTAACAATGCTAGGTTATTAGCACATCTAGAGAGTATTCAGTCCTTGTACTACCCCATAATCCCTCTGTGCGTGTGGGTTTGTGGAGCTCTCAGAGGAAGCCTCCTGGCTCGTCTCTGTGGCATGGGCAGAAAAATGGCTCTGTCCCAATTCCACCCTATAATCAGCGCTTTTAACAGCTCTCATTTTCTGCTGTATATATAACTGTAATTGTCAGGCAATACTCACATGGCAATGCATATGTTCTGCCTTTCACAGTAAATGTCAGAGCAGAACTGTGAGGAACCAAAGAAATTTACTCGCATATAACACAAAACCTGCACACAATATGACAATATGTCATCTGAATATGATTGCTAAGGAAAATCTCAAAAGCCAACATCTATTTTTATGAAATAGGAATAAGTAAATATAATTCATAAAGACATTTATGTAATTCTAAATGTCAAACCGTGCATATGCATATAAAATTACACTAAAAGGCTTTCACAAACACACATTTCTTAATGGTGCATTGTTACCACCTAATTTTTTATAATATGTTTATAAATATGATGCGTTCAGAAGATTGATGGTTTAATGGATAATGAGTGATAAGGTAATGTCACAATTTTGATCAAATTAAGTGGAAAAAAATATAAATTTCTAGCATCAGTGTTGCCATTTTCGAAAATAACAGCAGATAAAATTCTGTCCCATTTCTCAAAAGTCGGCGATCATTATTTGTTTTCCCTCTTTCATAAAGATTGTGATGCACAAAGTGTATTTAGGAATGTTTTTAAATGTGTATTTTTAATAGAGCTATCATTCTAATTGTATAATAATATAATTAGAAGTATTTGTGTAAGGCCTGCTTCTTAGGTTTTCCTGACACACTTTCATAATGATTGTGTTAAGATTTAACAAAATAACTTGGGCTTCATAAACAAGTCTGAAAGTGAATATATAACAACTCGTAATGTATTCCTGACCTAAGCTTCACTTGTTTTATTGCTTTGCTCTGCAATACAACAGTTCCTTCCCAGTGAACATAACAAAGCCATACAAAAATGACTGTAGAAATGCCATACTCTCATAAACGTGTCACACTTCTGTTGATCAAATATAATGTGTCACCTAGTTGTGCCATGTGCAGAATTGACAAATACATTGATATGAGGGCTGAACTGTGATTTGTCTCATAAGAGTCCAATGCTTTCAGTTAGACAGACATGCTGAATGTGCACAATGTCCTCAGGCTGGTGGTTAAGAGCCAGAGCTCTTATACAGCAGGACCTAGATGACCTTTCAGGGAAAATGTTAAATGAAACCGTATCACAATATCTTAAATATAATGATTTATACTGTGCCTTTTTTTTTTAGCTTCACTTGGTTTGTTTCTCATCTTGAGCAGCCATTTAAATTTATTTGGTACAAAAACTGGTACAAAAACAGAAACCCAGAGAAAAGTCTTTCACAAACACACATTTATTGTTAATGGAGTCCCTGTGCAATGGATCATGGTACACAGTGAGCATAAAAACAGAGTACATGCAGCTAAATGAGACCTGATGAGTGATATTTATTCACATTTGAGATCAGTTGTTTGCATAGACTTACTACTGTAACACCCATCACAAAACAGTAACAAGAGTTTACATCATGTTGCAGTTTCTGGAATAATTTTGGTATTACTTTCCCATTTATATCTGTCCTGGCTGATCTTAAAAATAATTTTTAGACACACATTTCATCCCTGAAAGTATTGCAAATTACATAAACTCTTAACTACTCCATGAAAAACTCCCAGAAAAGTGCACAATTAGCACCAGAAGATTATAAAAAAAAAGTTTGCTGTTTATAATGGACTGAAATTAATTTATGCACCACTGAGAGCATACAGTAACATGTGAATTATAAATAAAAGCATAGGTTAAATAAATCAAGAGTAACACGGTGAAAGTAAAGTACACAATACAGGGACAGAATAAGTCATATTTATGATTTTACAAATGTTTAAAAAAAAACACTATATTGTGAAAATGGAAAGTACATATGTTGATGTCCTTAAGATAAATAACACAAGGATTTAAGATCCACAGTAGGAATAAAGTCAGTTCATCAGTTCATCACATGCACAATAACTGTTGAACAATGTCTTGTACTGTGCAAAAATTACAAAAGTAAAAACTGATACAGTACAGCTCAAAAAGTGTTTTTTCACTATTTATACACAAAGGGTTCACTACTTTAAGAATATATTTAAAGCTCCGGGCCATAAATGTTCATTCCCAGCATAACTGCTTTCCAGGACTGTTTGCAACATTGTAACAACATACTCCTTTATACTCATGGATGTTAAAAAAGCTTCAAGTACATACTAAACAAATTCCAAACCTTGAACATGTTAAATATATTAAAGCAGTCAACCATTTAGCAAGCATTTATTAATACAATGAATTATCAAACTAATAAAACTTTCATCCGGAAAATGTGTTTAACAATGTATTAAATAAATTAATCTTCAGCATATACATCAGCCATTGTTACCCTTTAGGAATCAGGAAAGTCACCGAAAAATTATTAAAAAGGTATATTAAAAAATGGAAAGAAGGCATAAATACTTTAGCATGTTAATAAACAAACAAACAGAAGTGTGTGTTGAAAGATGGTAGCGAATGACCTATTTCTTCCAGAATACTGACATCCATCAATAAAGTGCATAACTCAAACAGAAGAATTAAAATTAGATATAAAAATCATAAATGAACAGAAAACGTGAACAAACTGCATTTTGATGTCAGGTAAAGTAGATCAGAAAAGGACTTACTAAGA